TTTGCAACACCAGTAAATGCTTCCTATAGAAATTCCAACTTAGAGTTCTAATTACATCTATATATATCGACATATATTGAATACTCACGGCCAAGACCTTCTGAGAAAGTTCATTCTCAGTGTCATGTCGCTGCCGTTTTACTTTGGCCTTGATTTCTCGTACGTCTTTATTGATCCTTTTAAGTAAATAGTATAGCTGCTGGTGCTGTGTAAATAGCTTCTCATCCACCCACCGGCGGTATTAGTTCGAACGTTCTTCAATTCAGTTTTTTTTAAAAAAATAAAAAAATAAAAAAATGCACAAAGTGTGACATCTAAGAAAAACGAAAAAAAAAGGAACTTATATACCATCACGATTACGATTGCGTGGCTCATTTTGATTGAAAGATTATCGATCTCATGATCGGGATCTTTCCCGTGATTGCAATCGATTACGATCAATAGATCGAAAACGAGATGAAGAACGAGATGGAGTATCTTGTTGAGATGGAGTATCTTGTCGAGAGTAAGAGGTTTGTCATGAAAGAGATGAATGATGTGTTTGGATAGTATGTCCTGATTTTGTTCGTTTTCCTTTCATTTTCTCAAATATATTCTGTATACTTTTAATGCTTTTGTATGAATCAGATGAATCACTGTCACTATTTGGAGAACCAGGAGTTGGAGGCACTGATTGTAAACTGGTTGTATTGGTAAGAATAGAGGTAGAAGAATGGGTTGTATTGGTAGGAATAGAGGTAGAAAAACAGGTTGTATTGGTAAGAATAGAGGTAGAAGAACGGGTTGTATTGGTAGGAATAGAGGTAAGAGAACGGGTTGTAATAGTAGGAGAATGGGTTGTATTGGTAGGAGAATGGGTTGTATTGGTAGAAGAGCGGGTTGTATTAGTAGATGTATTGGTAGAAGAAGATAAGTTGGGCGAAGTGTTATTAATAAGATTTTCAGAAGGTGATATGTTATTAGTATTGCTGTTATCCATTTCAAAAATTTTCAAAAATGTTTTACCTTTTGATTCTCAAAGAGTTATATTTATATATCTATAAATTTAAGAAATAGATAATTGATGATGCAACTTAGTCGTTATATAACAAAAAAAAAAAAAATACATCATACGTATAGTAATAATTTATCGAGTCTAAGAGAGATGATGTTAATCATTATGTAGCAAAAAAAAAAAAATAAAAATTTCATTTGTAAACATACATGTAATGACAATTTATTTATCTAAATAGATGAGTGTTAATCGTTATGTAGCAAAAAAAAAAAAAAAAAAAGCGAAAGTATACTTATCTCATTTGTTGTTTTGGTCATTTGCATATAATGACGATAAATATAATTACATGTGTAAAACAATTTGCTGAGTTTCTCGCTGCGATTTGAAATATAATGAATAATATATACATAATATACTTTTTGTTTATAATTTTACGTCATATAAATAATTATACG